AGAGAAACAGAGGGATACAGGGACACTTCATGGAGGAAGGGAAGGAAGTGGGGAGAGAGAGAGAGAGATGGAGGAAGAGGATGGAGGGAGGGGAATTGAGATATGGGGAGATCTGGGAGGAGGAAATAAAAATGGTGAAAGATTCTTAAGCTGAGCTGGAGAAGAGAGAAAAATAAGGAGACAGAAACAGAGAGGATCAAGAAGGAGGACAGACTGTTATCAGGAGGTGGAGACTGGAGATGTGGAAGTAGGAATAAGGTGAAATCCTAAGACAGAGGAAGGAGGGGGAGAGGGAAGTGGAGAGAGGAGAAACACCGAGAAGCACAGAAGCTGAGAGTGACAAAAAGACAAATGAAGACAGAGGGCCAGGGTTGGAAAACAGAAACCCGGGATGTCCTCAGAGATGGAGACAGAGGGGAAATAGGAGACTCCAGTGAGGCAGAACGAGGAGAGAGAACAAGGGGTAGAGAGAGGCAGGGAGGAATCAGGACAGGGACGCTGGAGACAGGTGAGGGACACACAGGGAGAGGCCACAATGAAGGGAGATGGGGAGAGAAGACCAGACAGGGGACTCTGCCATAGCCTCCAGTGGACAGGAGAGTCAGGGAGAAGCCCGGGGACACTGAGACCATCTCGTCCCCCTGGCCACCTTCCCCCTCTTGGGCACCCCCTCACCATAGCCTTTGAAGAGCCAGTCGAAGGTGGCCTGCTCGCCTCGCCCGCTGAACTCCTCAGCCTGGTCCACCAGAGCCTCCCTGACGGCATCATGTCCGCACAGCACCACGACCCGCCGGGGTCCCAGGTGAATGGTGAACACGGGGCCATAGCGCTCACTGATCTGATGGAGGCGGGTGGGAGAGGTTAGAGGGAGCAGCCGCTACTCCGAATGGACCCAGCACTGAGATTTCATGTACTGGGATGTTTCGCCCATTCAGGTTCTCACAGTCAGGGAGCTGGACATCCCAAGACCCTGTCTTTCCTGGCTAGGACCCTGACGCTTAACCTCCAAAACTCCCTTTCCTGAGACTCTGGTCCACAGTGGTCAACCCCCTGCCACAAAGCCCCAGCCAGCTGGGCAGTCCCCACCCCGTGCCACCCATCTCCCTGCCTTGGGACACCTTCATGAGGGAGGTGCACATCTGCTCTGTGTTCAGCTGCAGGTAGTTTCCAATGAAGGGCAATGGGATGGGTCCCGGAGGCAGCTTCCCCTTGCTGTTCCTCTGCTGCCAGACAGACATCAAGACCATCACAGTCAGGCAGGCCAGCAAGGCCACCAGGAGCAGCCCTGAGGCCAGCATGGTGGCAGTGGGATGATAGATGGTGATGGCTGGGGTGGTTTACCTTTATACTGCCTGAAAAACAGGGGCGGAGTTCTGTTGATTATATAACCACCTCAATTTTACCTCCCAACTACACCCCCAATCTACACCTGAATCCCGCCTAGCTTGGGACACAGCCAGCAAGGGAGGAGGAGGGGGACCCCAGGGCAGTTGAACAGAGAGGGGAGCTCTAGACTAAATCTGTGGTACTTCAGGAGGGGTGCCCTAGGGCTGTGGATTAAGGAGGGGGCATCAGATAAACTGTAGAACGGAGGAGTTTGGAATATTTGCACAGGGGAGCACCTGGACTTTGGATTTTTGGTCTGAGAATGAGAATGTACCCCAAAGTTGTGGATTTGGAGGTTCCAGGGGAGAGGAACCCAAAAGTCTGGGTTTTATTAGGGTGAGATGGAAGTGTGGCTATGCATTTGGGGGTCTTCTGTTGTGAAGGATGCAGGGTTAACAGTCTCAGGAGGGGGGATTCCAGGCATATGGACTTGAGAGTCTTGGGGCTACGAAGACCAGGGTGTGGGTGTGGAGTTTCTGGGAGGAGGAGTGTGTAGCAAGCCCAGCAGGTCCTCCCAGAAAACCCAGCAGCCCAGCACTGGGCCCAGGTACTGACTTGATTTTGCTGTGGCCCAGAGCTGTCTCTTGATGCCCAGAATCTTCACTGGAACTTCAGAGTGAGGCCAGGATGGGTGACATAGAACCTCCACTGCACATCTCTGGTTGGGAAAGGGGTGGAGGACCACAGCCATATTTCAGGGGAACTTTCCCCACACCTGGAGGAGAGTGCCTCGAGTTATCATTTGGCAGAGGGATTGGCCAGGTCTGGAGAAATAGTAATAACAACCCCCAAATGGTGGAAACATCTCATGTCCCAGGGTTGGAATTTACAAAGACCTCCACTGGTTTCCACCCAGATCCTTAGGGAAACCCACTAGATTGATTGTATCATCCCTATTAATATTATTATTGTTATTTATGTTTCTCATTTTATATAAGGGTCTACAGAGGACAGAAAACAGACAGTGGGCAGGGGACATGCGTGAGTGGCCCTGAACTCCCATCTCTCCTCCTCTGTGTCCTTAGTTCCACTTTGTGGATTTGGTTTTCCCGCCAGTGGAAAGGGAGTGTTTGGGAAGAGAAGATCATATTTGAGGGTCAGTTAGGTCTCCTTTAAGAGCAATTCGTGCTTTGTCAGGGGCTACCACTATTAGCAGGCAGAAGGAACAATCGCAAAAGAGATTGGGGTAAACTCCAGTGTTAGGCACAGAGACAGAGCCTGGGGTGGGTGGGAGTGGAGAAAGGATGAGTAGCCTCCTGTCCTTCCCTCAGGGAAATTCTTCCTTAGTAAACAGGACAGTTACCCTTTGGTGAGCACGGTCGCATATGGGAAGATCAAGTCTAGGTGTGTATGATCTGGTCGAATCTTTGTAACAATGAGGTTGGTTCATCATCATCCTCATTTTGAAGATGAGCAGATCTAGACTCCATAAACCCTCTTGAGTGAGGTCACACAGGGAGTAAGTGAGGGAGCTGGGATGTGAACTCTCTCCTCGTCCCCCTTCATTTTCTGGCCTAGATCACCTTGGGATTCAAGAGCAGGCCAGGCTTAGCAGGAGGTGGGTGCTGAGACTGGCATCAGCAGTGGACACAGGGATGACACTAGCGGGTTCTGATATCTGCATCAGGTACGGCCAGAGAGGGGAGGCATCGTGTTGGCTTTGGGACTGCCCCGAGGTATACGCGAGGATGGGAAAGAAGTTGGCACTGAACTTGACACCAGGAGAATATTAAAGTCATGTTTGGTGCCAAGAGGGCTCTGTGTGTTGTCTCAGGTGTCATTCAGGGCATAAGAGTGTCCTGCTTCAGGAGGGCATAAGAGTGGCACCATCTAAGGTCTGAGGTTGGTCACAGTAGGCTCTGACATGAGCATAAGGCAGGTGTGATATTGGTCCTGTGTGAGCCTCAGCCAGACCCTGTGAGGGGCCCTAGACGGCCACAGGACAGGCTCTGATGTTTGGAGCTTCCAGGGTTGCACCTGTCCTCTGGGTCACCAATTTTGGACAAATGGAGATGGATGAGGTTGGCACCCCAGGACTGACATCTTGCTCAAAGTGTTCTAGGATGCTGAGCTCTGAGACCTGTGTGGAGGGAGCAAAGGTCAGAGAACAACGTGAAGAGAGGAAGGCTGTTTGTTGATTTTGGAGGGGAAGAGGTGGGAAGGAGGATTATTAGCACCAGCTGGGCCAACATCAATCCCTCTAATCCTGGTCATAAGCCTGTACCTGGGCTGGCCCCAAGCCTGGGTCCCTCCTTTTCCTTCTTGTTTCTTAAAAAGGTGGGAGATAGAAATCTGGGGAGTTTGTTTCTCAGTGAGGTTGGCACAGGGAAGGGCACTGAGTGGTCAGCAGGCTGCCATGACCTGGCCAGGGAGGGGTGGGGAGAGACAGGCTGGGAGAACTCCAGTATTTGTGCACATAGAGGTCAATCGATGTTGGACTTGTTGATTACCCTGGAGCGTGGAGTGAGAGAATGGTGTCTGAAATCATGTGGGAGGGACTTGTCCCAGTGGGCAGTGTCTTGGGTACAGGCTTTCAGAGTGAGTTAGTGGCGAACCCAGGAAGATCCCTTTTCTTTGCTGGGCTTCAGTTTCCCTTTCTGAATGGATGGAACAATGATTAAGGTCTGGATTGGAATCCTAATCTTATCCCTTCTTTGTTGTGTGGCTTTGAACAGTTGACTTTATCTCTATGAGCCTTTTGGAGCCAAGAACAGCTCCTACCTCTTTGGCTATTTAGGGGAGAAGTGTATGTGTTAATGCAGATGAGGTACATGGCAGTAAGTGCTCAACGAATAGTAGTTGTTCTCTTTAATCTGTAGGATGAAATGGATGGATGAGATGTTCCCTAAGCACCTTCCCTGCTTTTACATTCTCTAGTCTAAAGCTCCCAAATCTTTTCCTTTGGGAAGGAGGAAAGGGACAGAGTCTTTGGGAACCTCTTTCCCCATCCCTTCCTCAGCACAGCCAAGATTTACCCCATGGAGCTGTGAATAGGAAATTAATCCTTCATGGCCTCCTGGAGCGTGGTGCTGAGTTCGGCAGTATCTGCAGAAGGACAGGCCAGCATTAGACTCTCAGGTTATTCTGGTTGGCCCTGGAGCCCTGCACAGGACTTTGCCCACCTGTCTGTCTACCCGTGTCTTGGATCCCATCTTTCTATCTTTCTCTTTCTCCTTTCCTGCAAGTTAATGTTCCCCTCAATCACCCTGAGTGCTCCTGCATCTTTGAATTTTGTGCCATTTTGTCCAATGGGTTCTCCTGGATGCCTCTGCCATGTTTATCCTCATTTATACAACTGTCTGTCTGTCATTCTGGGTGCATGCTTGTAGTGTCTATGTGCACGTATGTTTCAGTATGTCCATGTTGATACATGAATTTGTGTGTGCGCCGGGCTTTGTGGCGTGTATGTTTGTGCTTGATAATGGGTATCCATTCCAACTTATGTCTACACATGCACATGTGTGTGTGTGCCTGACAGGGTGTGCCACTGTTTCTCAATGCTTGCCAATCTTTTTGTCTGTCTCTGCATACAGCATGTGTGCACACATGATTTAGGGGTGTCTACAATGTGCATTTCTGTGTGAAACAAGATGTATGCTGCATATTCATATTTGTGTGTACGCATTCACAACTGGGTGATTACATATAAGTCATATAAGTATGTGGATGTTTTCATGTGTGCATTCAGGTGTCTGTATGCAGGCTTGTGGGCCATGTTGCATACATGTGAACAGCTGATATTTTCCTGTGCTCATCTGTGTTTGGATTAAAGCAGTCCTAGCCCAGCTCCATTAATCTGCTTGAAAAACACCCCAGAACTGTGGGAAGATTGTATGAGCATAATCTTAATTAAACTCCTCATCGCAAGACTGTGAGGTTGGCTTTATCATCTCCATTTTGCAAATGAGTTAGGTAAGGCCCCCAAAGTCGGTTGTAAGTGACTTGCTTCTGCATTCCACAGCTAATGAGGGTAGAGTCTTAGTATAGTCTTGTGTGACTGTAAATTTCGTTCTTTCTTTCTCTCTCTCTCCTTCCTTCCTTCCTTCCTTCCTTCCTTCCTTTCTTCTTTCTTTTCTTTCTCTCTCTTTCTCTCTTTCTTCTTTCTTTCCTTTCATTCTTTTTTTCTTTTTGAGATGTTTTGCTCTGTTGTTCTCGTTGCCCAGGCTGCAGTGCAATGGCGCAATCTCGGCTCACTGTAACCTCCGCCTCCTGGGTTCAAGTGATTCTACAGCCTCAGCCTCCCGAGTAACTGGGATTACAGCCACCATGCCCAGCTAATTTTTGTATTTTTAGTAGAGACGGGGTTTCACCATGTTTGTCAGGCTGGATCTCTTGACCTCAGGTGATCCTTCCACCTTGGCCTTCCAAAGTGCTGGGATTATAGGTGTGAGCTACCACACCTGGCTGTGAATGTAAATTTCATGCTGTTAATCACTACTTTGGGACTGCCAGGCCCCACCTGTTTTTCTTTATGAAACATTAGAAAAACTGCTTGTAATCTCTTGTGTTTCTTCAAATACTTCCGTGTAAACATGTAACAAAAGATTTCAAAATGTTAGAAAAAAAGTCTTTTAATAGGAAGGAGACTTGACCTTCTATAGTGTTTGCACTCTTTGGAACCTTAACCAAAGACCTAGTTGACCAGTATACCCCTCAGGCCATTGGCAATGAAGCAGTGGGGGAGTTGGGGTAGTAGGGGTTGTGGTCAGAGAATGAAATGTCTGTGTTTCACATTTCAGAGTGATGACAAGGATTAGGGTGGGGCTGTGGGAATGTTGGCTGAAATAGAGTGAGGAAGGTCAAAGAAGAGAAGAAAGTCAAGATTCTTTTTTTCTGAGTGTTTGGGCAGCGCACATCCATTGCCATGAAGTTCCTCCCTACCAGGAAAATGGCAAGACTTAGAGTCCAGAGATGGAAAAGAAGTTGG